TTTATAACCTGTTTTTGAGCATTCACTTAGCCCAGTACCCCCAACTTCTATGTTATTGATCTTGATTTCCTCACCAGTCATATCAAAGTGAACACGTTCGTTTCCTACATCATTCTTTGGAGCTTTTTCGCAGTTTATTGCTAAAATTATGATTAGATGATTTTTATCTAATTGAATGTTTTATTTGTTTTTTTTTATTACCTTCTGTTGAGTCTTGACTTGGCCAGGTACCGTCACTATCAAATGGATTTAATATCGGCCCCAAAAGTGTTCTACCGCTGTACTTTACATCTTCGAATCCTGTTTTGTAATCACCGTTCACTGCGATCCCTCCTTGTGGGTACCAATCGATCTCTATAGCGTTGTATGGATTGACTCCTGGCACATTTCTACCGTTGATTTTGAATCCATCGGCGGTTCTTTCAAAGTTTATACTTAGATTTCCAATCAAATTTCCATTGATTCCATTTTCTATAGAGTTCGAGCTTGCATCTTGATTTCCAAAATTACTAAAGTTACCGTAATTGTTCTCAGATTGAATTGGAATGTTCGTACCGTCGTTGTAGTTTTCTTCAGAGTCTTTTCCTTTCGAGTCGGATTCATCATCGACGTTTACGCTTAGTGAACCGGCTTCACTGGACTCGTCGATTTCAACATCCCAATTGTTTGCTGTAGTACCTGTATACGTAAGAATATAATCATAAAAACGATGTAGATACCATCACTCAATTATAATAAAATAAAACAGTTGAACTTAATTTATTTTAGCTTCAATGCGAGACTTAGGAGATATTGGTTTTTAAATGGTCTGGTTTACGTCTGACACGTTATACGTTGGAAAATTATTTAAACCAAATATTATTAAATTTTTAATATAAGGCAACTCTGCCAACACGAGACTGCAATTTTTTTTTCAATTTTCAATTTAATTATTTTATCATAATTATATTACACAAGAGTTCTAATATATTTAACTGTGTAAAATATGCCTTATATTTATACTTAATAGTTTTACCGCCTATATTTCCCCATTAAAGGTTATTTAAAAACACAGCCATAATAATTAATAAAAAAACTATTATCTCCATATCACTAATATGCTTAGACCCAATTATGCCCCACCCACATTGAAATATTTTTATTTATAATAAATCTTAGATTATATAGTTACCTTTAGAAAACAAGACACCACCTCTGAAAAGCAAAAGATTTTAAATAAAATAAAAATATAATACACGAAATTGTAGATTTTATGAAATATTTTTAAAAGCTTTTAAAAAATAAATAGCCAGAAAAAATACTTACGCCACGTATGGTGCCAGGCTAAGCAAAATAATAATTTGAATATTTATCATATTAACGGTTACAATATACTGTTTAATTCAACTAAATTCAACTAACTAAATAGTCAGTGCTCTCGGTACTTAAAAAAAAACAATTTCAACGAACACGTCTACATTTAATAAATAAAAAGTTTAAGATGGCTTTATGTTTGTTTGCATGAAAAAAATACACATCAAGTTTTGGTTTCAAGACAACATAACTATCTATTATGACGCCCCCGTTATTATGAGCATGCTTCAAACACTATTTTCTATATTAATTTGACGTTCATTGCAGTGTGAACTATAATATAAAATATGTTTTTGCTTAGAGTTAAAATATTTTTTTAAAGAGCTTTTAGTCAGAAATCGTACAACAATTGTCATTTTTAAGGCAATAAGAAGAACTTCACTACTTACTTAAATCGGAGATTTCGACACGTTGATAATAATTTAGTCGGATAAGGCAAACCCTGCACACACTTAGCTGGCTGTGTGTATGTTTCTTAATGATGTACCGTCAAGATCAAGGGTGTGCAACATGTCAACCCCAATAATAGAACCAGATTTGTTTAGAACCGCACTTAACTACCCGGAAGATTCAGCTCAGACCGTAACATATTCATTCCCAAGAGACTGTTTAGGCTAATGTTGGGTCAGAAAAACATTTTTCAATAAATCAAACTCTGACAATAAAGTTAATAGTACACGACATCAAAGTTCATATCAGCTGTGTTACAATACTGTTTGTCGATTGGTTTTTATTAATTTGTTTCAATGATAGTAAGAAATATAATTTTTGTTCTGAAATATTTTAACAGCATGTAGCTACAGCTAAGTTGTATTTATGAGAGCATAAGTTCAAATACAATACAATACCAAATTATTAATGGTGAAAGAGATTGTGATATGACACGCTAAAAGTTTGGACGCAAATGATTGTAGTCATGACTCATGAAATTTATAATAAATAAGGCATGTATCATTGTTATTTAATATAACATACAGGTGTTCCAAAAAGAGGTACTACATTTTACATTTTACATAACTTTGAATAAAACATTTTTTTTTTTTTGAGAAATCTTTATTGACTTAATGAAATTTCATTTAACTTGTCCAACCTTGGTGAGTAGTTATGTAGGGCCTTCATATTTTATAACACATAGTTAAATGTAAATTGTACTATAATATTATGTACTATAACAGTACAACTAAATTAAAATTAAACCAACAACATTCAACGATCAGCTGTTATCATTATAAAATAATAAATAATGAGAAGTATTTTTTTTCTTCATCATTAAATGGAATGAGAGTACAGATATTATATTAAAACGAACATATATTAATTATGGTTATATTAGTTTATTTCAAATAGTTAATAGAAAATTGTAAATTGTTTATCTGATTGATGGATTTATGTAAGTACAATATCAAATAATTCATTTAAAAAGCCAGTTCAGTGAATCAAGGGAATGATGCAAACTGTTCAAATTCTTAACTTGTACTTAAATATTTTACAATGTAGCAAACCGAATGTTTGTTTAATTACAATAATTGGCTAAAAGAATTATTATAGAATTATCTACCCTAATAACAAAATTACATTTTTAAAAACATTATTGTTATTAGGCACAATGCTTTTATCGATATTTGTATTCTACCATTATAGATTCGCATCAAAGCGTTTATTTGAAAGTAATGTTATCAGCTATCACTTTCAGTTGTTATATTCTGTAACCCTACAATATAATTTGTGTCTCAATCTCACTGCTCTGGATTTTTTATACTTGCAATTTGCATTATACTTTTATGTCATTGCCCGTAAATGATTTTTTTAGTGTGAGCACCTGTTAATATGACTTGATATTTCAAAATTCAAAGGTTGACAATATTCACGTACCTAACATACAATATTAGAATTTGTGCACACTGATATTATGAACACTGATAAAATCGAAAAAATGTTTATATAAGTATAGCTATAGAATAATTTGAACGTATGTCGTGTTTGTAACTTTAAAAATTTTTTTATTATAAAAATGTAACATATTTGATTTTATGAAAATAACGTTTACCATGCGAATGCCTTAATAGCACATAATAGTACACGAGACAAGTAGGATTATTTTATGGGCGTAACTAATCCGTATAATACTCTCAAATTATAAAAGATAAAATAACATGTTGAATTAGACAAATGGATATTTATAGCTATAAAAAAAACATGTAAATTGCAAATTAATTGAATCATAAATGTAATATACCTACTTCCAAAAAAAATATTGCCTGAAGTGTAAATAATAAATTGTTTAAAATAATTGGCTATTTGAAATAGAACATAAAAATATATTTTAAACATTTCGTTACTTGCAAATAATAGCTTACATTTGTACACTGAATGTTGTAATTGAAAACAAGTTTTAACTAAATTGAAATAAATATTTTTTCATATAAAGTTTAGTTCTTGGTAGATAATTTGTAAATATAATATATTGTATTCTACAGAAATAATAGTAATTTAAATTATACTAATCGAACACTTTTGTATTTTGCATAATAGTTTCATTCTATAATAATTTTGCTATATTTGCTATATTTCTTATTGTGCTATATTTCACTGCTAGAGAATAAACTTTGCAAAAACTAATACAATGAAGAATTAGTTCATCGATATTACCATTTTTTTTTTTTTTTGAACAAACGTCAATTGTTTTAATTAAAAATAATATCAAGTGCCCCGACTTCACTTCATATTAGTGACTGGGAGGTTAAAGGTGTTCAGGAATAAATTATTTTATTAGAAATATGCTCTGTCTCTACTATGCCTCGAGTCCACTGCAATTATTGCTAGTAATATGAAAGTAGGTATTTGCAATTAACACTTGAGTTATAAAATAATTACTAATTATATATTCACGAGTTATCTGAAAACTTCAGTTAAGACCGTAACATACACTATTTAGGCTAAAGTTTATCAGGAAAACATTTTTCAATAAATCAGTTAGTTAATGTTATACAACAGTTATTTAATATCAGCTGTGTTAATAAAATACTGTTTGTCGATTGGTTTCTATTAATTTGTTTTAATGATAGTAAGAATTATACATTTTGTTCTAATATGATAAATGTTTGGAAACGTTTAAACGTGATAATGTAGAATTTAACTTATTTTTTTTTGCGAAACAATCAAAATTTCCATCATAATTTGTTGAACATTTATATTGAGTCTGGAGAATATTTGCGGCTGTCCCAGATGAAGTCTCCGAAAGGATCATCTAAGTAACTGTCGCAGTAAAATAAAGTTTTCCAGCGTCTCGAAGGGACAGTGCCAGCCTCGGAGCATGGCTTCTTAGACCTGGTCAGTCGTTCCTTTGACCCTATTATCTACAGATATAGCTGATGCTGTACACGGGTTCGACCCGGTGGTTAATGTTACTTTGTACGATTCACAAGCCAATTAACTAAGTTTTACACCAACTGGCGACGAAGATGCAATCGTGTTTACCATTCACAATATATTTCAATGTTTGAGCTATTATGGTTGTTGTTGTTCTAAATGTTCAGAACGCTGCTGCAAATTTGTTTTATTTTTAAGTCTTATATGTCCTAAAGTGCTATAATAACGAATACTATATATACTAATAAGTAAATTCAATACTTAATCCACAGTAATAAATATATTTGTAAATATTAAATGCGTTACAGATCATATGTAAAAAGTATTATGTAGTTGAAAATGATTACATATAGTACTATGAAATAAGGCATTTCATATATTCTTTATATTCATATTTTTTATTAGAATATAATCAGTTTGAAACTTTTTAATTTAGATACATTGATTTTTTATTTTTTATCATTGTAAATATATTGCTTCGTGAATGTTTAGAAATTCATGATTCCTGCTCCTTCTATTCCATTGAATTTTTCATTTTTTATACCGTTGATTTTAAGTGAACCGCCACCCCATGTTATCTGCTTTAAATTCTTCGCTTTAACTCTTGGGATTTTTATGCCGTTGATCTTGATTGCATCACCTATCAATTCTACGGTTACTTCATCTTGGTTAAAAGTTGCATGTCCTGAAACGTTTTCAATAAATATAATGTGATATAAGGTATGATAGTAATTCGACCCTGACACTAAATCTGACTTACCTATATAACCATGGTTTTTATACTGCACACCTACATTACCCTGATTATTAAACTGCTGACCTCTATTACCAGAGTTATTAAACTGCACATCGTTATGATTTCCGTTATTGTACTGCCAACCTATATTATTATCGTTAAATTGCATGGTGTTTAAAAAATCTAATGCATCTAAAAAATTAGATCCATCTAAGTAATTTTATTGATTGTGGTGATGATACATGATAAAGATGACTCTTTATATAGTATTATACTTTGTCAAACCAAAAATATCATTAGCACTTTTTCTTTTAGAAGAGCTAAAAACATATTTACTTCTATTAGGGTATTTTTGTCCCCGACCATTATTCCGGTTTACATTGTTTGAGTTCACGTTATTCCAGTTTACATTGTTTGAATTTGTGTTATATGAATTATTAAGTCCAATATTGTTGCCATGTTTCACAGTATACTTAGTTTTCTTTTGATATTTTTTATCTAGATGAAAATAAGAGAATTGCAGTCAATAAAATGTTATACTAATATGTACTCTAAAAATTGTTTTCCAAACAGTCATTATAGTATTTTTAATTAGTCTAGTATTAATTTCAATATTTATTTCAATCATTTTTGTATTGATCTCACATAGTCAGATTTTTTGTTAAAATAAACATTTTTGTATGAGTCGCTCATTTTTTTTTTGCATAATAATAAATTTATTTTCATCAGTGATAAAATATTTTGTTTGAACTTAAACGATGACATATTCTGTAAATTTATTGTAAAAACATCAAGTTTATGACCATGTTACTTTATGACTAATTTTGATATCGAAATGGAATTTTCACTGAAGTATTCAAGTACTCTTTTTAGTTCTATCCTTAAAACTTTTTTTTTTAAAACTTAAAGTAGCTAAAAAATGAAAAATAATTCAACGTCTTATGAAATTTTTTTTTGTTACCTGCTGCTTGACTTGGCCCAGAACCGTAGTTATAAGCTGGATTTGATATTGACGCCAAAATCGTTCTTCCGCTATATTTTATATCTTCGAATCCTGGTTTGTCTTCACCGTTCACTGTGATCCCTCCTTCTGGTTTCCAATCTATCTCTATTTTGTTGTATGGATTGACTCCTGGGACTATTCTACCATTGATCTTAAAGCCATCGGTAGTTCTTTCAATGTTTATATTTGGATTTCCAATTAAATTCCCTACTGTCGTGGAGTTCGAGCTCACACCTTGATTTCCAAAATTACCAAAGTTACCAAAGTTACTAAAGTTTCCACCAGTTCCGTATCCTTGAACGTTTGCAACTGTTGGTTTTTGTTTTGGTAATTTCGCAGGGATCTTTGATTTTGCTTTACCGTATTGTTTAGGCCTATAAACTTCATAATCGCTATCTTCGCTTGACTCACTGGAGTCGCTGTCGTCATTGTACCAATATTTGTTTGTAGTACCTTTATGTAAAAATATTTTTAATTTAGGAAAAACTATAATAACCACTAAATCCGAAAAAAAACAAAATAGTTTAATAATAAATTATTGGCTTGTACTGTTTATATTTATGTTAGTAATTTTTATTGATTGTAACACTTTTATTTTACACGGACTCTGAATACTTTATATTTTATAAAACTTTTATGGTAATTTAGTAGTTTTTCCAACATTATAATATATCCATTCGACCTGTTCAAACTTTATCCTCAAAAAAAGATAATAACATAATCTTTGATTTTTCTTTACCATATTGTTTAGGAATATAAACTTCATCATCGCTATCTTCGCTTAATGAACTCGATTCACTGAAGTCACTGTCGTCATCGTAATATCTTTTTGTAGTACCTTTATGTAAAAATATTTTTAATTTAGGAAAAACTATAATAACCACTAAATCCGGACAAAAAACAAAATAGTTTAATAATAAATTATTGGCTTGTACTGTTTATACTTATGTTAGTCATTTTTATTGATTGTAATACTTTTTTTTTACTGAATACTTTATATTTTATAAAACTTCTATGGTATTTTCGTATTTTTTTTCAACATCATAATATATCCATTCGACCAGTTCAAACTTTAATCTCAAAAAAAGATAATGACATGCAGAGTTGGGGATTTTTTATTTCAGTTAAATACATAATGTAAACTTTTTAATCATGACTATTTTAATCTAATAATAACCAGTAAAATTAGTCATGAATAAAAATGTTTAAATTTTATGTTGGAATAAAATTTGTCACGGTTAAAAAATTTGTTGTAGGTACATATGAATAAAATGTTTAGTAACTTAAAAAAATAATTTCGTACAATTATATTATTCTAAGCAATCGAATATTCCAAAAAACTTAAATTATTTACTACGAATAACAATGATTAAAAAAAATGAATCATAGGATGAATTCTATGATCGTTATGAATCGTTGAATCAATCTTGATTAAAAAATTTAATCGAGGACAAAAATTAAATTAGTCATGGACTAAACGAAATCAATCAAGTATACAAGTTAAGTTTAATTGTTATTCGTATGGTTGTATACTTATATAAATAGTCCACTTTTGTTTAAAAATGTTTATAAATTAAATATTATGCAACTCTGCCGACGATGCAATTTATTTTTGAAATTTTAGTTTAATGTTTATTACCAAAAGTAACCATAATTCTATTAATATAGCTAATAATTATAATACACAATAATTGTAACATATTTTACTGTGTGTAATATGGATTATATTTGCAGTTTTTATTTTCTATAATTTCACATCAAAGGTTATTTCCAAACTAAGTCATAATAATTACAAAAAAAAACTATTATCTCCACGTCAGCAATATGTATAGACCCCATTATACCCCGACCTCATTCGGTAATTTATTTTATACTAAATCTTAAGTTACCTTTTTTTCTACCGCTATCACACCTGTAAATCATATTAAAAATAAAAATGAATACACAAAAACTCTAGATTCAATGAAATATTTCCAAATCATTTAAAAAAAGAAATAGTAAAAACAAAAAATTCTTACGCCACGTACGCCGCCAAACCAAGCAAAAGAATAATTTTAATATTTATCATATTAAAAGTTATAGTGTACTATAGTAATTGGACTGTACTAAAATATGTAGTGTTTTCAGTACTTATAGGACCAATGTCAACGACACGACTACAAGTGGTTAATACAATGTAGGGGATACAAAAGGTTTTAAGTATTTTTGCATAACACATTAATACAGGTGGTTTGCACGCATAAATTACATATTAACTTTTGTTTTCAAGACAATATAACTGTCTATAATAACACCTGAGTTATTATGAGCATCCTTTTAACATTATTGTCTGTATCAATGTGTTGTTTATTACAGTGTGAAATTATTACTTATTTACTTAGAGCATAATATTTTATTATTGAGTTTTTAGTCAGAAATCACGTACACAAATTTACTTTAAAAGACAAAAAAAGAACTCCATCACATACTTAATTTGGAGATTTTGCCACGTTGATAATAAATAAATTATTTAATGGATAAATATTTCCATAATTTAATTTTCAAAATGTTATCGATTTCCGTTTTAGGAAAATTTTATTTTTAGTGTCAGCTTTTTGCTTAGAATAGCAGCATAATAGCTTACTATTGCACAAATGGTTAGCATCCAACAGTTTAAATTTGTTAATGATTTAAAATGTATTGTTTGTATACATTGGTGTATGGTAAAAACTTTTTAATATTTATGGGTTAGCTTTATTAGGCTTAGCTTAGTCATAGAATGGGTAGAAAGAGTTTTCATATTTAAAGGTAATAATATAACAAAATATTATATGGCTCGCTATTGTGAAATTCTTAAGAATGTGTATCGTCATTCGCTGGGCATTGACGCCTTCAGGTACAACGAATACAGTGTTGGAGGTGGGTGGCTTTGTGTAGTTTATCATTGTACACGATATTTGTATTATTTGCGAATAACATCTGCAAAAATGTTTTGCCTGGCACGTCGAAAACAGGCAAGGATTAATAACGAAATCGAGACCACATTATACTTGAAATTATTCATACCTAAACACATAGTAAGAAACAAATAATATAATACTATATAATTGTAGTAGTAAAAATTTATCAAATTTTCTATATGAACGTTTTGGTTTGTAATTTTAGTAGTTCGTGACCAAAAAAAAACGTCCATATAAAAAATATTGAACGCCGAAACCAAGAATTATAAATTGACATGCATTAAAAAAATGAAACATAAATTATAATTTTTAAGTTTGAACTGAAGAGGAGGAGAAGATATATGAGCTAGGTATAGTGTATACTTAAAGCAGCTTAAATTCGATCACATTTGACAAATCTCTCGTTAAAAAAAAACCTAGAAATTGATGTACTTCGAAAATACTACCTATAAGTTTTAAGGTGTTTTGTAGGTATGAATAATAACTATTGAACATTATAAAAGAAAAATTATAAATTTAATGTAATGTAAAAAATCACTTTAGCCAGGTATCATTTCATGAAATTTAGCATACTTGGAAAACACCTGAGTACACGTTTTGTGCGGCTTTCCAATTTTTCATCGCATTGGTGTACTAAACACAAATGCAAATTTTATATATTTTCTTAAAGTTAGACGGTTAAAATTTAAGTTTCCAATGTTGCTTGCCGTTAAGTAAGCAACTTCTCAACATACGCCTAGCTTTGTCATTTATACAATTTAATATAGTAACGGAATTCAGCAAAATTATAAAAATGTAGAAAAAACTTAAGCAACACAAGTGTTACCACACAAGTATAACTATAAGGTTACATATTATAAAATAATTAAATATCTAATAAACCTAAAGCAATGTTACCAACATGAGCGAATACAACAGACTGAGTCTGAATAGTTCAAAGAAAAACTGTTATCTTCAATTATTGGTTCTTGTTTTCAATCAATTTCAACCATTATAATCTGTTTTAAATATTACATAAAACAACTTTTATCATACATACATCAAGCCACGTTACGAATAAATAAAGAAGGTCTGACCGGAATTTTTAAACGATTACTGCGAAATTTTTGTATATGAAACAATAGTAATACCATTATGGCTTTAATATTTATTATATAATGCAACTGAAAGAATAAAACGTTAATATTTTGTGAGCGTTAATAATATTTTATTTAATACATTATTAATTAAATATTCTATTATTAATTAATTTTTAAAACTAATTTTGTTTAATTAAGTAGTAGCATGGTACTCAAGTACTCAACATGGTAGTAGTATGTTTCAATACATAACATAAATTAAATAAAAACGGAATTTAAAAGTTATATAAATAAATAATTTATAATGATATAATAAGATTTAATAATTTTAATTATATTTGCTAATTATAATATTGTCAATAATAAAAAGATTTTTTAGTAAAATGGTTCCTCGCCACTGTCAAAGACAATTCAAAAAGAGGAGAAAACTGTTGAACCCCCTTCCTAAATTACCTTGGCAACAGCGAGATCTTTTAACAAATGTCCCCCCCCCCAATCACACAGATCCCCGAAGAGAAAACGCGCAAAATTAAACTGAGCTTGGATGAGATTCGAATTTGTCACGTATCTGAAATTATGAAGTGCTTTACCAAACGCGCCAGTACCCAAGATGGCGTCATTAGGCGGTATTGACACTTTTAAGTAGATTCGTATCTTTTGTTGTCATCGAAAAAGACTCGATTATTTCTTATTTAACATAACCTATTTGACTTTATTTTCATTTGATTAAAGAATATATTTTATTATGGTGCAGTTATGATACACTATTTTACATGTTATAGTTTACATATTAAAAGCGTTTTGATGATATTAACAGTTTGTTCTGTTGATTGGCCATTAAAAATTTAAACGATTAAGTACGCATTAATTAATTACACATGAATAAGATATTAATTGTAAAACCTGAACTGATGTTATAAAAATAAGTACCTATTATTATTTTGAACAGAAATATTTTTATTTTCTAAATTTCATGAGTTAATCATTTATTATTATTGTCAGGTAATAGAACACTTTGTAATAGTGGCAATACGATGGCATCCCCGTATGACAAGAATGTAGAAGCCTGAAGCGCACAAAATCCATTGATTAATTCCAGATTTGCAGTATAACAATAAAATATGTGCATTTGTCTTAAACATACACATAATAGTAAGTTTTTAATAATCCTATTGAATTAAAATGAATCTGAATAATGGTTTTACCTATTTGTTTCAGGTGAAATGGCTATATTAGATATTACTTTCTATTAGGAAAAATGTTAACAATGTTTAATGTTTTTTAATATCAAACCACTGGTATCACTAAGGAGCTAAAACAATGTAAAATATGATATTTTTGGCAAAATATATTCTTGTTAATACTTATTTTACTTTTTATTCTGTTTGGTTTGTCAACGTATATCGAAAGTACACCAACTAAATAACAGTCCACACAAGTTCAGTGTCATTTCGACTATTTTTAACTATATGCGAATCGGTCAAGCAGTTCCAATAAAAAATTAAAGTGCCTCGGCGAATCTGAATATTTCGTTTAGCTGCTTTTAATAGAATTGTTTTTCAAAAACACACACTCACTCATAAATCCCGACGATGCTGACACTGCAGTAGACCCGGACAAAACCAGATCAGTGGCCGACCGACCGCAAAATACACACATCAGTCAAATCGGATACACCTAATATTATCGCGTTATGTATATATACTATATTAGGTTCAACCCGGCCGAGGGAGGGCTGATGAGATATATTATAGCGATCCGGGACTATAATACTATGTAGCAATATTATTATTTTATATCCGTGTACACGACAGTAATAACATGATCGCAATACTGATTGTTTTCAATCGGGGCAACGGTCGCGGCTTAAACGGTTTTGTGTTTTAATAGGTTTCCAGTAGAAACAACTGAAAAAAAAAAACTAACCCGGCAAATCGTTTTCTTCACATGCCGTGTATTATTGGTATTATGCTCCACTCGCTCGTCCATTCAACTCTTGGGCATAAGCTCTGTACAGAATTATTTGTCTAGGAATCTGCTGTGTGTATTGTATTATCGACAATTTATATACGAATATATATTTGTAATTTGTGCGCTGGTAATTAGATAGGAAACGTTTTAATTTGCATTTTCACAGCCCGGACGTTGCAGTGGCGGCGATTGTCATTGTTCCGTTTAGGGAAAACCAGGCGGAAAAAAAAATAGAAGGGGGGACTTTGTTGTTGGAAGTCGATTACTTTATTGTCGAGCCAAACAAATACTGTACCGAAAATGTATTTCGTCCGCCAAAGTCATTAAGGTTTATTATTTTTTTTTTTTTGAACTTTTCTCGCATTTTGTTTTTTAATCGACCGTATTAAAGTTTTTCTTTTTTTGTTTATGAACTCCGAGTAAAAATTATGTCTGAAACCGAGGAGTTTTATTCAAAAATTGTTTCTGAACTGTTGTCTCGACCAGCATTTGTTTGCAAGTTCTTACTCCTCATTCACACGGCAATTAATTAAGTTATGGCGATTGTAATACAACTATATCAAATTCGAAGAGTTTATTTTTAGATAATATGCTTAAAAACTGACAATTAATACCAAAAACTAGATGACGATGATAGTTTTAATATTTTTCAGTGCCTAAATAGAATATTTATGTTGCTTAAAAATTGCTTTAGAACTTCTGATAAACCAACTAACCTTAAGCATACAACTTAAACGTTTCATGCCGCACGTACTTCCAATGATTAGATCCTAAACGTACAGTTCCTCCCAAATACTATACTAAATGATAATACCGGTAGGCTGTAATTTTAGAGGCTCACTTTTTCCCTCTTAACATCAGTGTAGCCATATATATATATTGTGATACAAATATACAATGTACCGTAATTTATATTTTATAAGTCTAAATAAAATTTCAATTTTCAGTGTAGGCATCGTTTCAGAATAATGCTATTTTGATTCCTTAATTTAGAAAACCCTGTATTTGGGAGGGGGGGGGAATACTGAGACAATACAAATTAACATTGTCTTTCCGGTATTATCATTTATAGTATTTGTATCTACACAACAAAAAAACAAATACTCATCAGCCACAGACGGTGGTTTCTGAGCAGATTAGCACCAGTGATTGGTA